TTTTGCATTAGAATTAGCAAACTGATTATGATAACATATAAATTTTGTATTGTATTGATGAATGATGCAAGAGGATCTCGCGCTCTTAACTTTGCATCAAGAAGGTTTTTATGCGAGTTTTGCGCGTGTATTTACTTGCTATTTTTCTGTAAAAAAAATAGTCTTATACTAGACTATAGCTACTTAATATTACTAGGACAAAATTTAAGAATTTGTTTCTAAAATAATAGATAAATGAATAAATAATCCCATTGATCTATAATAAATAATCAGAGTCATTACGGTGCATAAAATGTGCTTGCCACGTGTTTTATAACACGTGAAAAAATAGGAGGAGGATGTTATTCTTTATTCATTATTATCATCATAATTAGTATTATGATGAATTTCTTTGTATTTAGAGGATCCTTGATTTTAAAGTTAATGAGAACGAAAAATATACTAAAACAATTCCCCTTATAATTCCCCCTCATAACGTGGTAACTTTTATAGGGACATTCATCAATGCATTCAAACATTATTTTTTTTCGTTGATGCTGATTAAATTCTATTTTAAATATTAAACATTTTCACAATATATATGTATGGACTAAATATATGAATATAAGGAAAACAATGAAAATGTCAAAAAAATGCATGCACTTACCCCTTCCCATATATCAAAGTATTCACAAAACACACTTATGTATATGTATATGTTCCTGTTGCAGTATTTAAAGACCTTTGTTGTGAAGCACAATTTATGTACCGCGGGTACGGCACAAGACCACGCAATTATACACCCACGGGCTATCTATCGTCCGCCTTTAAAAGCACACCAACCAATTAAACTTTAATATATACCATTTTAACTGTGATTTACTCGTACAGTCAACAACGCGACCTATCATGACAAGAGTCAAAAGCTCGTGATTAAAGTTAAATTACTCTTTACAAAGATACAAATCTTAAGTACTTTATAAACCCATTTAAATGAGTGTCCGGTTTATTGTCTGTATCCCTGTATCCAAATAAGCGAGGTTTTATTGTGTATTCGCGGAGTCATCAATAGAATAATATATATGTGATAGATATCCGATCTTAAAAGTACATATTTTGTACCATATAGCCACCTTCTACGATACTTATAATTAAAACATCAGTTTTTAATAAAATAATTCCGCTCCATTGTTCGAAAAAACAAAGAAAGAAAATTATTAATGTAGGTAATAACTCTTATAACAAGTTCTCCTCTTATTAATTTGTTGGATGTTGCACATTATATAAGTGCTTTGTGTATGTATTTGTAAAATCAAGTGACCAAGTAAATAAAAGTCATAGGAGCATGATTAAATACGGAAGCGTGTAAGGGCCTCCACTCGGGACATTAATTCACAGTTTAAAAACATCAAAGCGGCCATCACTTTTGCAAAGCATTTTTATAGAGATCCCTAGTCCCAAGTATAATCTATCTGTCCGAATTATTATAAATATGATTAATATTTACATCTTTCATTAATTATTAATATGTAAATATTTACATCTTTCATACGTTTGCGATAAACGATAAGCTTAAAGGCCCATTGTGCCAAAGAATGTATTTTTTGTTATTCTAAAGTTTTTCCGTTTTATACTTTTTGTGTCCTGCAGTTGTTTCCAAAATGTTACTCACTGTCCAATTCGCTGAACCATCTATTACTTTTGTTGCTTTATTGTATTTAATACAGTCATAGTGATCGAGTATTTTGTATGGAAGTCAAAATACTACTTTGTTTACATTTACTGGTACGTTGATGACAAGTAATGTCACATTCAGCACTACTTTCTTCAGGTTATGAGCATTTAACATACTCTAAAATTTTACCATTGATTTTAACATTTCGAAACGCATGTTTGCCCCTTTTAAAGAAAAAAAAATGAATATTTTAAGGCATAATTACTGTGCCTTTAAATGAAGACGTGCATAACAATCTATTGAAGTAAAATCTTACTTGAAATAAGTTAAGAGAAAATTCCGAGCTGATATTCCGTTAACAAAAATTTAAGGGACATTGTCATTCTTAGTCGTCTGCTGTTAGTAATTAACCATACTTGAACAAATTACGTTGTAACGGGAATATTAAGATCATAGTTAAACAGACTTCACCAGGACGGAAACCGTACTCGGAAATGGAAAGAGAAAATATCATTTAAAACCCCTTATGTGCCATTGACATTTAAAAAGGGGCCTAATTATTCAATTAACACAATAGACTGTTCTGTCATTATTTAAAGGCACATTATGACACAGAAACGAAAATATTTGTCCTTTTTAGAAACACGTGAGTTTCATAGTGTGCAAATAATAGTTTCAGAGCCTGTTTGATGCGTATCACCTGAAGGAAGTGAAGATGAACGTGATATTGTTATGAAAGTAACAAATGTAAACAAACTGGTAATTTGACTTCCATACAAAATACTTACCACTGTACCTCTATGAATGTAAAAAAGCAACAGAAGCAAATGATGGTTCTAGCTTATAGCCAATGAGTAAATTTTTCGAAAATATAACAAGACACCAAAAATACACATGATTTTGAGAAATAGAGATAAAATCATTTCTGACGCATAATGGGCCTTTAAATAAAACAAGTCGAGCTTCCATTTTTGGAACGGTCCAAACTCCATTATCAGTTTTGGGGATATCAAGATGAAAGTTTAATAAGCTCACAGTACAGAGCCTGTTCAGACTGCACGGGTCTTCAGGCTAGCCTGGCTTTATACCGGCGGCAAAGGCTAGCAGCTGGGTAGGGTTAAAGATCCTGTATGTTGTGAACAAAGTTGTATACCGTATGTATGTAAGTTAAAGCTTAATGAGGGTCCATCCGCCACTAAGTGAAATTATATATATGTACATAATAATGCAAATAAAACAATTTTCAAACATCGAAGAATATGTAAATTATGTACTGCAAATATTTGTGCATATTATATGTAATCATTAAAATATATGCATTCTTTTCTTATTGTAAAATTTGACTAAAACTTTATAGAAAATAAACTTTTTATTATCTCCATTTATTTACATGAAATGTTTAATTCAGTAATATCTTTATAAATAATGCTTTTTGGAACCTACAATATTAATAAATCTTAATTTGAGTATCATATTTATTATTTAAAACCATAAGAAAATTGTGTTACAGGATCTTTAAACCCACTTGTTATCATACAGACAGTTTTCCTGACGTTGCTCATCAGTGGTTCAATATATCGTGGAGACAGATTACAAAACATCATGAAATGAATGCAGTTTATAACTATTAATTAAAAATATCCCGGAAAGAAATTATTAGAGCTGCATGGTTTTGTTATAGAAATAGGTTCAAATGTTTATATCGGTGTATAAAAGAGTTATTTAAAGCTTTTTATTACATCATCTTCGGTTTGTGTAAAAAAATTCAACATATAAATATACATGTTGCACGATAGAATACCAACAGTTAGATAACCTTTTTCTTAAATTATTTTAGATAATTGAATAAAACATCATAATTAATATAATGCACAATTATATGCATCATTGTTTACGTATTTTTTTTCAAATTATGAGGAAATAGTAAAAATAGATACATACCATGAACATGTTCGATCATTCATATTATCCGATCTTATACTGCTACATTATCCGATATTCATATTATCCGATATTCATATTATCCGATCTTATACTTTTACATTGGAATATCTTAACAATTAAATACGAGTCGTCTCAGTGGGAGCAATCTGTCGTTTATAATGTACATGAAGGAGACAAAGCTGTGTGACTCATATTCATACATGATCAATAAAATCACAGATACAGAGTAAAATATTACTATAGAAACCGATATAATGTGTGAACAAGGACAGCTATCGACTGACACGGAAAATGGGAATAGTGCATAAGAAAAGACGAACGAAAAATAAAAGACTAAAAAAGAGCATACGTTATTTTTATTAAATATTTAATATCCACACATGAAAGAGCCACCGCTACATGCTAAAAAAGCCTTAAAAACTTAAAATGTTATATAAATCAATTTGAACATTTAAAACTGTAAATAATGAAAATAGATAAAAATAATGAAAAAGAGACATACCCGTTATTTAAGCCGATTTGAGTTAAAGGTGTTTAATCAAATGTTTTTCGTTTTTAGGTCATTTTACACAATAGAAATGAGTATTCTGGAAAAATGAAATGAGTGGATGATCTGCACACAAATTAGACCTTTAATTATGACATAAGATTCAATACAAAAAATCTAGAAAAAATATGTTCATGTGGAAAAAAAGAACCAGTACAAACAAAAAAGTACAATAGAGTCACTTTAACAAATGGTTACAATAAAAGCTTGAAAACAACATATATTTCTAGGTTACTTTTGTTAGTTTTTATGATAGATCTTTTCGAAGAGCGTATATAGTTTTGTAATCAGAAAAGTATCCCGACGAATCAATGGATTTATCTAATCTGGGTCAAAAAATATTTTTTGGTCCCTGATCTAAATAAAATGACATTTGAATTGTAATAAACTAAATATAGATGTTTCTAATTTTTTTCATCATTTGAAAATGTAGGTCTGTGATTTACTTACTTTGAACTATTAATGCAATGTTCAGTCCAAAATAAAATAATGTTCTGTTCTTTTCTTTAAACCAGAGATATAATATGGGATACTTATCAGCAAATATTATTTAAAACCTCATATATTTTTTATCAGTCTGCTGGTGTTTAAACTTATTGAAAAACTTATCTAGGCGCAGGAGCTATATAGATGACACATTCAAGAATATACATACGGTACATAGATCTACTGTATACAATCTTAACATATTTTTTAACTTAATACATTTTTACGATGATTTAATAAATACAAAATTTAATTTCTGTCAGAGACCATACGTTTTTATGTGTGTGTGCTTCAGACACGTGCTTTTCTAAATTTAGTAACTTGGAAAAACACACTTATTTGTTTACCTTTCTTATTGAGCCAATAGAAACGAGGCTTTCAAACCTACTGTGTTGTATGACGTCACTACCTGTATGATAGTTAATCATAACTAATAATTAAGAAATAGCCATTTTTTATCAAACACACAAGACAGAAAACATTGAAACATGGATGGTAAGTTATTATATTTAAACACGAAAGTGACGGATAATTCTTTAATGGTGTTATTTTCTTTTAAAGGAGGAAGCATTCTGAAATACTTTTTGCAGTAAAGTAAAATTTGTGGGTGGGGTAAGAATTAGAATATCCAGTTTTCACGTATATAGATCTAGTCAATATATAAGGCCTAAACTGGCATATATAACCTTTACATAACATTTCAAGATAGTGATTTTTTTTAATTTTTTCCTACACACAGAAATATATCCCTCTCAGTCATTATGAAACAAGAAATGATTTAAAAACTCATCACTGATCATATCTGAAAAAAAAAAACCCACAAACTTTTTTCTGTCTATTAATGCTGACCCACAACCTCTAGATGATGATAGATGAACAAGGTACTTTCTCGAATTCTGGTTGCTATGTAATGATTTTACTCTACAAATCACTTCAAATCATTATGTCACAGGGTGATAAAAATGTGAAGCCTGACCATGACTTAAACCCAGTACACTAAAAATGTGAAGCCTGACCGGGACTTAAACCCAGTACACTAGGAATACAGTACTGCAGCTCTACTGACTGAGAAATCTGGTGGCTTACACACTACATGTATCTCTCCTAAAAAGTGAACAGTTCTGAATTGTGACATACTCCCCCCGCTTCATTGAAATTCGTCCTCAAATTTCTCTCGGGTATAGAGAACAGTAGTCTCAATATTTCGACGGCAAGACAGACCGATTTTATAATCTGATATTTCATAGATGTCTGTCTTCAAACATGGACACTTGAAATACCTTACAGCAGCTAAACCTACTGAGCTATCCGGCTGCTTACACACTTTCTACCCAAAATAGTGAACAGTTCTGAACCGTGACAATAAGTGTCATTTTAATTAAGTGTTTGAGGTACATTATCATAGAAAATGTTTGTGTTTTATGCAAAATTACGTAACCAGAGTATGATTAAAATTCAAGTTGAAGTTTTAACATATATTTCTGGATTTACTGATATTTACTTAAAATATTATTTTAACATGCTTTTGTCATACTTTTTGCTAAATGTTGACTTGCCATGGTATATATCAGCACTACACACTAGTAACAAAGAAGACATGTTATTGGATTTGGAAGTGACAATTTCATCTGTTTTAAGCATGTCCCGTTAATACTAGAAACCCGATAATACGAGAAACAGAAATTTATTTATCCACCTTTGGATACTGTTACTGCAACAAAGTCCAGAAATTGGACATTTTAAATTTGAGTCCACAATAAACATCACCTGAAATCTTTTCGTAATTTTTATTAATAAAAATGTTGCTTTAGTTTGAAAATTTTTTATGCAGCTCATAATTTTTGCTGTGATATAAAAGAAGAAATGTATTCTACAATTAACAGAAATTATGAAGTCAGAAGATGTACATTAATTTCATAATGCAGATAATTACTAATACTATTATTTATGACACATACAATTTATTTTTTTCAGATACACTTTTCCAGTTAAAGGTAAAGGATACTTTATCTTATTGTAATCTGTTAACGGCTTTTCTTATAAATTAATTGATTGTTACAGTGTTTTTGTTCTTTATTTAACTACTACCCTAAAACGGTACTGTTCCCAATAGAAAATAAACATTAAAATTCCCAATTTCTAATGTTTTAATTCCCAAAATGGCTGTTCAAAATTCCCCCAAGGCCAAGTGATTTCTCTGAGATCATTTAAATCCAACATATTCATATAAATCACCACTTAATAGTTCTACCTGGACAGTGGAAGCTGTTAGCTATCTTTATTCATGATGACTAATCTTATTTGTAGCTGAAAAATGCATTTAAAAAATTCCCAATTTGAGTCAAAATAACGCATTTTTTTCCCAATCAGTCTGGTGCCGGGCACCATTCTTAAAGTAGAGAAAAAAACGCTGTGTAGCTTGACTATTCGATAAGAATAAGTAGAGCTATTGTAGTCACGCGAGCGTCGGCGTAACCACTTATGTTTAAGTTTTTGTAATACCTCAAATATTTTCAAAGTCCATTGACATGTGGCTTTGAAACTTTGCATACTTGTTCACCATCATGACCCCAACCTGTAGACAGGAGGAGGTAACTCTATCAAGAATTTTGACAGAATTATGCCCCTTTTTAGCTCGACTATTCGATAAGAATAAGTAGAGCTATTGCAGTCACCCGAGCGTCGGCGTCGGCGTAACCACTTATGTTAAAGTTTTTGTAATAGTTCAAATATTTTCAAAGTCCATAGACATATGGCTTTGAAACTTTGCACACTTGTTCACCATCATGACCCAAACCTGTAGACAGGAGGAGGTAACTCTATCAAGCATTTTGACAGAATTATGCCCCTTTTTCGACTTAGAATTTATGTTAAAGTTTTTGTAATAGTTCAAATATTTTCAAAGTTCATTGACATATGGCTTTGAAACTTTGCACACTTGTTCACCATCATGACCTCAACCTGGAAACAGGAGGAGGTAACTCTATCAAGCAATTTTGACAGAATTATGCCCCTTTTTCGACTTAGAATTTACGTTAAAGTTTTTGTAATAGTTCAAATATTTTCAAAGTCCATTGACATATGGCTTTGAAACTTTGCACACTTGTTCACCATCATGACTCCAACCTGTAGACAGAAGGAGGTAACTCTATCAAGCATTTTGACAGAATTATGCATCTTCTTCGACGTAGAATTTACTTTAAAGTTTTTGTAATACCTCAATATTTTCAAAGTCCATTGACATATGGCTTTGAAACTTTGCACACTTGTTCACCATCATGACTCCAACCTGTAGACTGGAAGAGGTAACTCTATCAAGCATTTTTACAGAATTATGCCCCTTTTTCGGCTTTCAATTTACTTTAAAGTTTTTGTTATACCTCAATATTTTCAAAGTCCATCCATATGGCTTTCAAACTTTGCACACTTGTTCACCATCATAACCCTATCTTGTAGACAGAAGGAGGTAACTGTATCAAGCATTTTGACAGAATTATGCCTCTTTTTCGGCTTAGAATTTATGTTAAAGTTTTTGTAATAGTTCAAATATTTTCAAAGTCCATTGACATATGGCTTTGAAACTTTGCACACTTGTTCACCATCATGACCCCAACCTGGAAACAGGAGGAGGTAACTCTATCAAGCATTTTGACAGAATTATGCCCCTTTTTCGACTTAGAATTTACGTTAAAGTTTTTGTAATAGTTCAAATATTTTCAAAGTCCATTGACATATGGCTTTGAAACTTTGCACACTTGTTCACCATCATGACCCCAACCTGTAAACAGGAGGAGGTAACTCTATCAAGCATTTTTTTACTATCAAGCACTAAGAATAGTCGAGCGTTGCTGTCCTACCGACAGCTCTTGTTGGACTTAGAATTTACGTTAAAGTTTTTGTAATACCTCAAATATTTTCAAAGTCCATTGACATATGGCTTTGAAACTTTGCACACTTGTTCACCATCATGATCCCAACCTGTAGACAGGAGGAGGTAACTCTATCAAGCATTTTGACAGAATTATGCCCCTTTTTCGACTTAGAATTTACGTTAAAGTTTTTGTAATACCTCAAATATTTTCAAAGTTCATAAGGCTTTGAAACATGTTGAAATTTTATACTCTTCTTTGACAGCATAATAGGACTCTCTCCAATGCCTATAACTGTAATATGGATTTAAAGAAAAATTTTGCCTTTTTCTTTACTGAGAAAATTTTACCTTTTAATCAAGGCTTTTTTTACTATCAAGCACTAAGAATAGTCGAGCGTTGCTGTCCTACCGACAGCTCTTGTTATATATATTGTTATATTTCAATATACAGTAAATCATTATAATTACTTTTTGTAGTTTTGCAGTGTATTTGATTGACTTTTCATTATTTCATAGAATGATAAATCTATCCAATGCAACTCATTGCTGCAACAGTGTAATACCTGTTTGAAGTTGTGCAAGCTTTTGACAAGTTATGATTTGGAATCACAGCTGGCAAAGTTTTTACCGCGGCTGTTAGCTTAGCACTCTGACATCCACCAGACACATGGTTGAATATTCTTATTGGTTTCTTCATTTTCAGTCTGCGAAATTAGCAGTTGTCCTATTGCCCGAGACAACCATTTTTTGGTCCAGACAATCAATTTTTAAAAGTTTACTTGCCCAATGGACAAGTAAAAATTTGCAGAAAAGTACGGTATTCATCAAAATGTCAACAAATTGTGATAAAATGCAAGATATCAAATAAAATTAGTTTGCTTACATTTATAACTGTTTTTCACTGAAGATTATTTGCAGATTTGATCAATAATTGCTTGGAGATGTTCTAATGAAAATATTCGGGCAACCAGTTTTTACATCGGACAACCAGATTTTCTTGAATTGGTTGCCCGAATGACAACAATTTTTAAACGCTAATTTCACAGACTGCATCTTGTCAATGACTTTGGTTCATATGGAATGAAATAAATTTGTGACAAACTCTTTAATGTTGGAACTTGTTGATGAAGGTTGTACTGTAATCAGTTTTGCCCAATATAAACTTGAAAAACCATGGTTTTTCCCAAAATCACCTACTGGGCTAGGCAATGCTCATAAAACCCAGGAATTTTAACAACTTTGTTTGGGATCTTAAATTAAGGGTAAAAGAAAATTAGGAAGAAATGTGTCAAATATGATAAATAGCTTTAAATCCTGTAATCCTTATGACATTATTGATTGTGAATTACATGATATATATATTTTTTTATTTTGCAAGCATATTATTGGGAATTATGTTTTTACAGTTTACAACCAAGCAGTTGGAGAGGTTAGCCAACAAAGCTGAAAAAGAACAAAAGAAAGAACAAGCTAAGGTTAAAAAGGTATGTTACAAGAGCCTGAGGTTACTTATTTGTTTGTTTGATTGCGTTTTACATCACACCAACACAGTATAGGTCATATGGCTTTGTTCCAGCTTTACTGGTCACATGGAGGAAGACCTCAGGTGCCCTTCTATTCATTATTTCAGGCTTAAACGGCACCTGAGTAGAACCACTGACATTCTGTAGAGGTTGCTTTATTTAAATGATAACTGAATTTACAATACATGCATAAGATATTAATTAATCACTGGAGTTCAGTCAGCTATGTTTATGATAGCAGTGTGGAGTCAAGTCTGCCAGTAAGGTCAGACTGTATGAGAATGACAACTTAAACTTGTTACCTAGTTAGTGACAGTGAATTTAAAAATAGATTCGTAAGGCTGGACAATCTTTAGTAAATTTGTTGGAACAAGTTCTACTGGTATGTCTTTTGGCAGGTTATTCTTGATTTTGAAATCCCTTAAAAAATAAGCAGTTTCAGAGTTTATTAGTATAACATCATTGTTGTGATTAATTTAAAATCAGTACAAACTAATTAGATCTATTGTATCATACATGTACCTGATTTTAAATGAATTCCAATATATACCAATTGGAAGGGATCCATTTTTTATCAAACAAAAAGTTAAACAGTTAAATATAAAGACATACTAACAAATGTATTTGCACATGCCATGGACCAACCAATAACATTACTAGCTGTTTGTGTGTATAATATAAAAGTAAAATAATTGTTTCAGGCCATACAACAGAAGAACATTGAAGGTGCCAGGATATATGCAGAGAATGCCATACGCAAGAAGAATGAAGGTCTAAACTACCTCCGGTTTGCTGCGAGAGTCGATGCTGTAGCTTCTAAAGTACAGACTGCTCTAACAATGAAATCAGTAAGATATTTATACCATTCACACAACCAGGGCCCACACAATCTGAGTTTGACTTACTTGTTTGTTTTATCTGAAGCATTACTTTCCTAATTTGTATATCTATGAAGAAAATTTTGGAAAAATTTCACTTGTCGGCATAGCCTGTGGGACAACCTTTGTAATATGAAAGATTGATTTTGCTGTTCCTGACAGCATTTAATTCTTAGAGAGCTAAATAATCATTATACATGAAGGTTATAAATGCATATCAACCTGAAAAGATATGTTAATATTAGTTTATTTTAAAATAAATTAAAGTGACATTATGCTCATTTTCTCGCTTTATGCTCATTTTTTGCTGTCGGGTTGAATTTGTAATATATTTAAAAAGAATGGCTATTAAAATGGTGATACTTTACTGATTGACAATAATTGATAATGAAAAATAAGTATGATATAGTATTAAAACTACCTGATTTTTAAAAAGACTGCCCCACTCCTTAAAAATTGAGTCTTACCAATATTTTCTGGAGGATGTTTAAAGACATTTCTTTAAGGATTTTTACATTATTAATTTCACGAAAGGTTTATAGAATTAAAACTTTCTCAAATCACACAAATCACAGGGACCTTTGACATTCACAGGATTCATGTCTCATGAAACATTACAATTTTCTTGTTTTTTACAGATAACCAAAAATATTGGCGAAGTAACGAAGGCTCTAGACAAAGCAATGAGTTCAATGGATCTAGAAAAGGTAGCTTGCTGATGGCAAATTAATATACCCATGTGTGCCATTTGATCTTGGTCTGCACTGTTCCCTTTTCAGCCAGTAAATGTATTGAAATTTTCTCAAAAGATGGCCAGATTGGATTGAAAGATGGACAAGTCCTTTTAAGATATTACGGGTGATTGCCAAACAAGTTCTTGCAACTTACATTAATCACTTTCAAGTCTGCTTCCTGGAACCAACCAGTACTGGTGTCACATGAAGAAACATGATCGTGACCCAAGTATATTAAAAAGAGAAATAACAGATTTGGGAATTTTAAAGATCCTGTAACTCAATTTTTTTATGGTTTTATATCATAAATTTAATGCTTAAATGAAGATTTTTCAATATTGTAAGATCCAAAAAGCATTATTTGTAAAGACATTACCGAATTTACATTTCATGTTAATAAAAGGAGGTGATTAGAAATTTATTGTCCCCCACCTTTTCCAAGAAAAATGGGGGATATAGAAATAGGCTCCGTCCGTCTGTCCGTCACACTTTCGTGTCCGGTCCATAACTTTGTCATTTATCAAAGGAATCTGAAATAACTTGGCACAAATGTTTGTTATACATAATGTAATAAGTTGATGTGTCATGCGCAACAACCAGACCCATACCTCCAGGGTCAAGGTCGCACTTGCTCATTCAAGGTCAGCATTGTCTATTTGAGGGTATATGTCGTGTCGGGTACATAACTTTCTTACCTTTGATGGGATTTTGTAAATACTTGCCACAATTGTTCACAATAATGAGACGATGTGTCATGCACAACAACTGGTCACCTACCTTCAAGATCAAGGTCACACTTGGAGGTCAAAGATCAACATAGTCTGTTACAGAGTATATTTTGTGTCTGGTCCATAACTTTTTCATAGATCAAAGGATTTTGTGAATACTTACCACAAATAGTCACTATAATAAGAGGATGTGTCATACACATCACCTGCATCCCTACCTCCAAGTTCAAGGTCATTCTTAGAGGTCAAAAATTAACATAGTCTGTTTTAGAGTATACTTTGTGTCCAATCTAGAACTTCTTCGGATTTTGAAATAACTTGGCACAAATTGTCACAATAATAAGAGGATATGTATAGAACAACACCACTGTCAGCAACCCTACCTCCAAGGTCACTCTAAGAGATCAAAGGTTAACAGATGCTGTTATATTGAATATTTTATGTCCCGTATATAACTTCTTCATAGATGAAGGGATTTTGAATATACTTGGTACAAATAGTCACAATGATAAGATGATATGTCATGCTTAACACCTGTGTCCCTACCTCCAAGGTCAAGGTCACACTTAGAGGTGAAAGATTTACATAGTCTGTTATAGGGTATATTTTGTATCCAGTCCATACTTTTTCCATAGATCAAGGGATTTTAAAAATACTTTGCACAAATAATCACAATAATAAGATCAGGTGCAAAACATGGGTCCCTACCTCCAAGGTCACACTTAGAGGTCAAAGACTAACATAGTCTGTAATAGTTTTGTGTCGTATCTAGAACTTCTTCATAGTTCAAGGGATTTTGAAAATACTTGGCACACACATTTACAATAAGACGATTTGTCATGCACAACATCTGCACCCCTACCTCCAAGGTCAAGGTCACACTTAGAGGTCAAAGCTTAACATGATAGATTTTTAAATTCTGTGTTTCATTTTATTTCTTTAAAATATTTATTATTGCATTTGCAGATCTAGCATCGATCATAATTTTGGACTGAAAGTCCTGAGAGCCATACCATAGCACAATTTCATGCTTCATATAAAACTTTCCGAGGCGAGGGACGTTGGTGACTCTGTTACAAATCAGTGTTTTTTTCCACCAAAATATCCGGCGAAATTCGGCCCCATTCCCCCCTCAAAACAGTATGTTTTTTCCCCCCTCAAAGCAGAAATTTCCCCCTATAATATGGCAGCCCAAATTTGCCAGCAATGAATATCATGTTTTTGCAAGTAACTGCCGAAAAATGCTTTATTTTGTGCCTGTTAGACTTACTGTTAAGCAAGGTTGTTTACAAATCATTCTCATGTAGGTAAGGGGAGCTACTCCCAGTGTCCCAACAAGTTTAACATGTGACACGTCAATATTTTAGATCCGTATAAAAATCCCCCTCCTATTGCATTTTTTTCCCTCCAAAGGGCACCGACCCTTCCCCCAAAAGTGAAAAAAAAAACACTGCAAATTCTTGTTTTCTATAAAGTCTAAATCAAAATTTTTCATTAAGAATTGAATGATTACTTATAATATGTACAAATATTTGCAGTAAATATTTTACATATTCTTCTATGTTTGATAATTGTTTTAGAAGCATAATTATATACATATATAATATTTCACTAAAGTGTGGTAACAATCTTAATTACAACATACAGGATCCTAAAAGTTCTATATAGGATAAGATAAGTTGCTCTTTTAGGTATATTAATGTGTATACTGTATTTATTGAAATTTTCATTATACACTTGACATTTTCTATACACTTAACATTTTCTTCCTTGAATGTTAGATAAACCATGGGAAGATGAAAATTAAATTATCATGGCATAATTATATTATATTTGATGTACATTGTTCACTAGAATGTATGTATCATACCATCTATTTCAAAGTTTGAAATTTCATAATTTGTATTTCAGGTTGGGAAAATAATGGAGAAATTTGAAAAACAGTTTGAAGACATAGATGTCCGTACCTCAGTAAGTATCCTAACTTTTCTATACAATTGAAGGGTAATGCACCTTTTTTTATGCGTTAACATCTGCATAAGCCAGAGGACGCATTTAAGACCCAAGGCAGAAAAAAAACGTACTTTGTGCTCTTCTTGTATAAAAGTATAAGTCTGACTTGGTAATACTGCATTATATTATGTGTTTATCGTATAAAGTTGACAGTTTGCCATGCTTTTTATGTGCTAGTGTGATGTCATTTAACAGTACAGTATTGTTTCGATAATGAAATAGCTGATGTTGTCATTGCAGTAAGCTTCTTTTTAACAGAGCTCCGAGTCAAACATACTAAAATAACCTGCAACAACAGCGCAAGCTTGTGTGATTTAAATCGTAAACCCATGTTTTTTTCTATGTTAATGTTAACCTTGATGCTCAGTATTCATGCAATAATATAAATTATTTTCAGACATTAGAAAGTGCAATGGGCACAGCGACTACATTATCTACACCACAAGACCAGGTAGAATCATTAATAATGGAAGTAGCAGAAGAAAATGGTCTAGAAGTAATGGATCAACTGAAAGACATCAATCCTTCCACAGCCTCGATACGCGACACTGCAGAAACTAAACGTGAAGATGATCTTTCTAGAAGGTATGTCTGTGCATTTGAATGTGTAATATGAAATAACCTCTTCATGTGAAAGACATTTATAAATATGCTCCTGAATATTTATTTGGTTGGTCATATACCGTTATTTGGTAGATTGGTTCTGTTAATGGACCGGATATTCAAGCGTCACCTATTATCATCATCATCCATTATTATTGTTGTTTCCAATTCTCAGTAACTTCATATCTGATTGATATTCAGGGGACAGCAAAAAATATCAGTACGTCCAAATATTGTTCTACAGAATGTACAGGTGTAACAGTCATCGTATTTAGCACTGGCCCAATGGCCAGTGAAAATTAGTTCGGGCCAGTGAAAATTAGTTCGGGCCAGTGAAAATTTTAAGAAAATTTAGTTAAATATATAGACGAATAAATTCAAAACTGGAATTCGGGCTAGTAAATTCAAAATCTTAAATTCATTGAAAGGTTTAATGTGCATGCACGTCATATGCAATTTAAAGTGTTCAACTTTTGAACCATTAGATACTTTTGGAACTTGAAAATTATTACCCCTAGCTCTGAGTCTGTTAAGTTGGCCAGAAACTTTGATGTTAGAATTAGTTCAGCTATAGCATTTTAGCACTGGTCAGGCAATAGGCATTTAAACAATAACATTAACTGGCATGTGTCATTTGTTTTCGATCTGAGCTGAATGTGTCATATGCATATATAAATTAATGAGTTTTGTTTAATTTTTATACCCCCGCACAACAAAGTTGTAAGGGGGGTATACTTGAATCAGCTTGTCCGTCCGTCCGGCTGTCCGGCCGTCCGTCGATTTTTATTGTCCGCCCAATAACTTAAGATTCCTTTGACCCTTAGTCTTAATATTTGGCAAGGAGGTTAGTCATGATTAGTAGATGACCCCTATTGATTTTGAGGTCACTAGGTCAAAGGTCAAGGTCACAGGGGCCTTGACTTTAAAAAGCTTGTCCTCCCAAAAACTTAAGATTCCTTTGACCTACAGTCGTCATATTTGGCATGGAGGTTAGTCATGATTAGTAGATGACCCCTATTGATTTTCAGGTCACCAGGTCAAGGTCACAGGGGCCTTGACTTCAAAACGCTTGTCCGCCCAATAACTTAAGATTTCTTTGACCCATAGTCTTCATATTTGGCATGGAGGTTAGTCATGATTAGTAGATGACCCCCATTGACTTTGAGTTCACCAGGTGAAAGGTCAAGGTCGCAGGGGCCTTGACTTCAAAAAGCTTGTCCGCCCAATAACTTAAAATTACTTTGACCCATAGTCTTCATATTTGGCATTGAGGTTAGTCATGATTAGTAGATGACCCCTATTGATTTTGAGGTCACCAGGTCAAAGTCAAGGTCACAGGGGCCTTGACTTCAAAAAGCTTGTCCGCCCAATAACTTAAGATTCCTTTGACCCACAGTCTTCATATTTGGCATTGAGGTTAGTCATGATTAGTTACATGACCCCTATTGACTTTGAGGTCACCAGGTCAAAGGTCAAGGTCACAGGGACCTTGACTTCAAAAAGCTTGTCTGCCCAATAACTTAAGATTCCTTTGACCCACAGTCTTCATATTTGGCATGGAGGCTAGTCATGATAAGTAGATGACCCCTATTGATTTTGAGGTTACCAGGTCAAAGGTCAAGGTCACAGGCGCCTTGACTTCAAAAAGCTTGTCCGCCCAATAACTTAAGATTCCTTTGACCCATAGTCTTCATATTTGGAATGGAGGTTAGTCATGATTAGTAGATGACCCCTAATGACTTTGAGGTCACCAGGTCAAAGGTCAAGATCACAGGGGCCTTGACTTCAAAAAGCTTGTCCGCCCTATAACTTAAGATTCCTTTGACCCACAGTCTTCATATTTGGCATGAAGGCTAGTCATGATAAGTAGATGACCCCTATTGACTTTGAGGTCACCAGGTCAAAGGTCAAGGTCACAGGGGCCTTGACTTCAAAAAGCTTGTCCGCCCAATAACTTAAGATTCCTTTGACCCACAGTCTTCATATTTGGAATGGAGGTTAGTCATGATTAGTAGATGACCCCTATTGATTTTGAGGTCACCAGGTCAAGGTCACAGGGACTTTGACTTCAAAAAGTTTGTCTGCCCAATAACTTTAGATTCCTTTGACCCACAGTCTTCATATTTGGCATGGATGTTGATCATGATTAGTAGATGACCCCTTTTGATTTTGAGGTCACTGGATCAAAGGTCAAGGTGATAGGGACTTTGACTTCAAAAAGTTTGTCCACCCATTAACTTAAGATTCCTTTGACCCACAGTCTTCATATTTGGCATGGATGTTGATCAGGACTATAAGGTGACTATATATTGATTTTGAGGTCACTGGGTCAAAGGTCAAGGTCACAGGGACCTTGACAAAAAAAGCTTTTCTTCTCAATTGCTAAAGAATGTCCTGTCCGCAATGTATTGATTTTGACATTTTCACATTTGAAGCATGTAGAATACATAACTTAGCAATGCACTGGCTTAGTCACCTCAGATTTGGCAGCTTGAGCTCTAAATGGCCACTGTTGATTCTGACAAAGTGGTATGCGGGGGTATTCACGCCATGATAGTGGCAGTTCTAGTTTAAGTTGATATCCTGATTTTTTGTGTGTTCTTTTTATGCCCCCGCCATGTAATGGCAGGGGCATATAGTGTTACCCTGTTCCGTCCTTCCGTCATTCTGTCATTCCGTCATCATCAGTTTCCGTTCATTATCTTAGTAACTGTTGCACATATTCAACTCAAATTTTGCATATGGATATGTCATGAGAAAATACAGGTCAAGTTTGAATTTGGTCATGGTTCGATGATTTTTGGCAGAGTTATGCCCCTTTTACTTTGAAAATAATATGAAATTTTCAGTTTCCGTTCATTATCTCCCCAACGGTACAACACATTCAACTCAAATTTGACATATGGATATGTCATGAGAAAATACAGGTCAAGTTCGAATTTGGTCATGGTTCGATGATTTTTGGCAGAGTTATGCCCCTTTTACTTTGAAAATAATATGAAATTTTCAGTTTCCGTTCATTATCTCCCCAACGGTACAACACATTCAAATCAAATTTGACATGTGGATATTTCATGAGAAAATACAGGTCAAGTTTGAATTTGGTCATGGTTCGATGATTTTTAGCAGAGTTATGCCCCTTTCACTTTGAAAATAATTTGAAATTTTCAGTTTCCGTTTATTATCTCCATAACGGTACAACACATTCAACTCAAACTTGACATATATATATATGTCATGAGAAAATACAGGTCAAGTTCGAATTTGGTCATGGCTCGATGATTTTTGGCAGAGTTATGCCCCTTTTACTTTGAAAATAATATGAAATTTCCAGTTTCCGTTCATTATTTCCCCAACGGTACAACACATTCAACTCAAATTTGACATATGGATATATCATGAGAAAATACAGGTCAAGTTCGAATTCGGTCATGGTTCAATGATTTTTGGCAGAGAAATGCCCCTTTTACTTTGAAAATAGTATGAAATTTTCAGTTTCTGTTTATTATCTCCCCAACAGTACAACACATTCAACTCAAATTTCACATATGGATATGTTTTTGGAATGCCCAGGCCAAGTTCGAATTTGGTCATGGTTCAATGATTTTTGGCAGAGTAATGCCCCTTCCACTTTGAAAATAATATGAAATTTACAGTTTCTGTTCATTATCTACCCAACAGTGTTACATATTCAACTCAAATTTGACATATGGATATGTCAAAGGAATGGGCAGGTCAAGTTGGAATTTGGTCATGGTTCGATGATTGTTTGGCAGAGTTATGTCCCTTTCACTTTGAAAATAATATAGATACATCTTAGGAATAAGCAGTTTAAGTTTGAATTTGGTCATGGTTCAATGATTTTGGACAAACTTATCTTTCTTGAATATTGGAAAAAATTTGAACTTTCAGTTTCAGCACTCATACTTTTGTGGAAATGTATGTAGCCATTATTTTGGCTACAAATATGAAATATGCTATTTTCAAAAGGTTAAGACTGAATAATTTCAGTGCCTTGAACATTGTATGAAAATAGTTTGTGTAAACGTTGAAAAGTTTTAAGGGCTTTGAACTTAAAATGAAAACAATAATTTGTGCAAACAAATTTGGAACTAAATATTATAACATCTGAAATTTTGGCTGCATGCGGGGGCATCCGTGGCATGATGACACATTTCTAGTTTTAAATATACATGTATACCAATTTATGAAAGAAACAGAGATCATATTTATTGTTCAGTGTTTAATAATCCTTCTTTTCTTTAATTTCAGATTACAAGCTCTCCGCAACTGACAGTTCATCGGTCTGTGATATATTTGTACATATATTGTGTAAATGTGTTTTGTATATAAACTGTAAACATTTTAGTCATACATTGGAAGAATTCTTCACTCATTAAGTTATTGAAAGTTTAAGTTTGATCATAAATTGTTAAATCTAAATTCCAAGTTTGAATTTTTTATTTATTTTTCATCATGTGCCTATAAAATGTCATTATTTTATTACAATGTACATGAAAATAGAACTGTTAAGACAGGATGTTGGTTATTTAGAAGAAAAAATTAAAGTTATTGATAAGACTAGAAATTTTATTTGTTTTTGACATAAAACACATGTTTATATGCCAATGGTGATATAAAAAGAAATTTAAAAATCTATTACTAGGTTAAGACATCTGTAAATATATAAGATTTTTGTATGCAAAAACAGAGACGGAAATGGACATATCTTTGCAAGATACAGTTGTTAACTTATTTCTTGTATGAACTTATTTCTTGTGTGAACTTATTTCTGGTATCATGTAATCACTATACAGTACTGGTAATGGGTTAACTTCTATCAATTAAAAATAGGAGTTATAGAGGATATTGAATGAGTGTAGGTTCAATACTGAATTTATTGAACAAGTTGAATAAAATTATATTATGCCTGGGACTAAAAATGTAAAAGTTTATCTTTCTGTCCCAGATTATTAGCATCTGGCTAGCATATTTTTTCAATTTAGCAATGAGGCTACACAAATATGATATTCTATTTATCACATATCCAAAATAAAAATGAATAAACTTTTCATTGATGGCTTAAAGTGTGACGCTTACACTTAATGCATTATTATGCTATGTTGTATAATGCAAAATTTAATGATGTGAAGTCAAAATCTATGCATGACGTGCAATACTATATTTACTGAGTCGCAAAAGTGGCATGGGTATGTAATAAAACCAATTACTGCACTAAAGTGACCAATTTATAAAAGTCTTAATACTTTTCCATTCTTGTGGCGACAAATTTAAATATTTTATGTAAAAGTAATCTAAGTATAAATAAAGTCTGAGTAATATATTAATCATTATAATTATGGACATAATGTGTACCAGTATGTGTTTTCTATGAATTATGGGTAAATGAACAAAAGAAAACTGTTACTACAGATAAATAAAATTATTATATCACTATGCTTTTTTTATTTTTGTAGAAAGTTTAAGGTAACTTTTTAAAAGAATTTCTATTTATCATATTTATATTTTCTTGTTAAATATTTATTAATATCTGCAGTCCCGCTAAAGAGTTGATCTAGAAAGAGTACACTTTAAGTACACAGTATACCTATAGTATACTTTAATCATATGTTTTATAAACATACCTCACAACTGTTTTGACATAAGTTATAATATATGTTATAAATTTCCAACTTCACGGAGTCAAAATTTCAAGCAAAATTTATACACTTCTATAGTAGTTATCATGACTAAACATCAGGGATGACATAAAATTTATTGTCAAATATAAGCAATAAAAGTGCTAAAAGTTGACATTTTCTTTTCATTTAAAATTCAGTCAAATAATCTTCACAAATGGTATCCTTACACATTAATGCTAATTTTTTGGTCACTGAAACATAACTTTAAAATGGCTAATTCCCCTGAACAATGCAAATTTTTACAATCAAAGTCAGATATATGGTGGAGCAAATAATTATACGGTCCCTTTTCAAGACCAATTCATTAAGATGATTTTTATTTCGGAATCTAAAAATCTTTGGAATTTAATGTACAGGTAATTTTTGTTAAGTCTTGTTAGTTGTTTGTTGAATTCTCTTCAGTATCATATTGTTATATTCATTTGAAATCAAAACGTTAGACATCAAGTGACATTAGTATATAATAAATTTTAAATAACTGGATATGCTTTATTTTCTGTTAAGTTTTAGTATACATGTATACAAATTTATTATAGTTTGTGTTGGAAGCTATAAGCTTATTGAAACACTCTCAAATCCATTCCTGGAACCAACCAGTACCAAGTAATGAGTGGGAAGCTTCTTGCTTAAAGAAACAAGAGCGATCAGTAATCACGTGTCGCCTCATGATGGCCAATTTCATGTTGAGACAAATTTTGTGACAGACAGACAGATGGACAGTGCACAACTAGATTTGGTACTGATCATTCCTGTAAAGTTTGGATAAAATTGCACCAGTAGTTTATGAGGAGTAGTCCGGACAAGCTTTTGCGTATCTGGCAACACACAGAAAAAAAAGACCTTTTTATCAAAGGGCCATAACTCGGCCAAAAATCATTCAACCATAAAACCCGTGCAATATGCGCAAGGACTTGAGCTACAGATCAATCCTGTAAAGATTCATTGAAATTGCATTAGTGGTATAAGAGAAGTAGTCCGGACAAACTTTAAAAATAAAAATTATAAAAGGGCCATAACTCTGACAAAAATCATTGAACCGGAAAATGCTGACAATATGCACAACTAGACTTGGTACTGATCATTCCTGTAAAGTTTGGATGAAATTGCACCAGTAGTTTATGAGGAGTAGTCCGGACAAGCTTTTGTGTATCTGGCAACGACAGAAAAAAACACTTTTTTGTCAAAGGGCCATAACTCGGCCAAAAATCATTCAACCGGAAAACCCGTGCAATATGCGCAAGGACTTGAGCTACAGATCAATCCTGTAAAGTTTCATTGAAATTGCATTAGTGGTATAAGAGAAGTAGTCCGGACAAATTTAAAATTAAAAATTATTAAAGGGCCATAACTCTGACAAAAATCACTGAACCGGAAAATCCTGACAATATGCACAACTAGACTTGGTACTGATTATTCCTGTAAAGTTTGGACGAAATTGCACCAGTAATTTATGAGCAGTAGTCCGGACAAGTTTTGTGACGGACGGACAGACAGACGACGGAGAAGTGATCCCTATATGTCGCCACTACTCCGTAGAGGCGACACAAAAACGGCTTGCCCCTGACATGGTTTGAACCCAAGCAGCCAGCAATCCTTAGATTACTAGTCCGAGGCATATACCACTCGGCCAAGCTGCCGTAGGTAATATGTTATCTTTTACCAAGTGAACATAACAAGATGCAGATTTATAACTTAAGTCATGTCTGAAACAATAGCCTGTTGTACGGACAGTAAAGTGCTGTGTATAGATTCAAAGAATTTATCTGCTTGAGATATTGCCCTGCTTGTACAGTGGTCATCAGATTCAATCCAGTTGATTTACAATTAACTTCTACATGGGCTTTCTTAACAAAAATATCTCAGGTGAGACTATCATGTGCAATATGTACATTAATGTACTTCTGTTTGTACCCACCATGCAGCAGTTACTGCCCATTTTAAGTGTCATTCGGACGTTATTTTCTTGTCCTGGATTATCGTGTCAAGCTTCAGGGTTGAAGATTGAATTCTGCTCAAGTTGGTGCTATGGAGAATGAGACATGTTGCATTTATAAACTTTTTTCTAATGAATAGACTCGATCAAACCGAGAATGAAATTTTCACATCACCAGGCATATTTATTTTTATGCCCCTGAACGTACAGTACTTGAACCTTCCGTCCATCTGTCTGTTCAAGGTTGACCTTTTCTGGCAAGTTAGAGATATATCTTAAGTTCTTTCTACCTGTACCAACAGTTACATACCCTATACTAGGTTGGCCTAATCTGGCAAGTTAGATATATCCTAAGTTCTACCTGTACCAATGGTTTCACACCATACAATGTATACTAGTAATACAAACTTGTGTTATAGCACAAAATACGATCAAAACATATCAAAATTATCACATTTATATCTTTTATTTTTGTATCTTTCCACATCAACAGATATTGTCTAGATTTCTTGCACTCAAATAACCACAAAAAAAAAAATTGTTTTCAAGCATTTTTACAAAGATGTTTAAGGATGAAATATTTTAGATCAAAATAATTTGACAAGTAATGGGGAATGGAGGTTCCAAAACATTGTTTATACATTCACTTATTCCAATTAGACATAATGAGGAAGAATGTACAAGATTTCAATGAATTTCTGCAATAAAAGTCAGTGATTTTTCACCATATATAACTGGTCTAAAAAAGGCCTCTTCCCTATCATTTTTTTCTTTGAAATCGTGCAATATTCCCAAAAATCCTGACTTTCACCAGCTTTTTTTCTTCCCATATTGGAAATTTTAGCGATTACTTTTCCCAAAATCAAGCTGCTAAGGCCTCTTCCCAATTAAGTGGGAAAAATCACTGAAAGTAATTTACCCAAAGATGAGCATAGTATATCTTTAAAGAAAGAGCACAGCAGAGTCATTTTATAATCATTGCAGATCATTTAAACATGATTAACTAGTAAAAGAGCAAAACCTTTGAGCTGGTATTAATGCTGTACTCTGTATATTTTGATATATATCAGATCATGTATATTTTGATATATATCAGATCAGTTACTCAATTACTCTCATATGTAGCAAATCTCAGTCCAGGAACTGATCACACTTATTAACATCTTGTTTAGTGTCTGCAATTTAACAAACAAACAAAAAAGTTAAAGAAATAAAAAAGAACAAAGTTTAATCAGTAGTTCAACAAGAGCTGTCCGTAAGACAGCGCGCTCGACTTTTTTATTGCTTGCCAATAAAAAAAGTTTTTGCAGTAAAAGGCAATACAAGAATCTCTGTATTTTTAAAGTGAACTAGTTGTTTGATACCCTTGAATATTACTGCAATGTTTATATGACATAATTTATGGTAAAGTGAACAAGTGGATAGGAATGAATTTTTTTAGATTTTTTAAGTTTTTTAGTGCTTGCCTATAATACAAAACATTGACAGTTAAGGGCCATAATTCAAATAAAATCTTTGACAGAATTACCTTCTCCTGGACATGTTTGGGAATCATGATTGTAAACAAGTATTCCAACTTTCAAATTAATATCTCAAACAGTTCAGTCAAAAAGTGGACTGGTACTAAAAACTTAACCAAGATTCTAAGTCGATAAAAGGCCTTAATTTTTAAAACAAATCCTTGACAGAGTTACCTTCTCTTGCATACAGATGGGGGTAATGATGTGAAATAGCATTAAAAGTTTCAAAGCAATATCTCAAAGGGTTAAGGCAATAAGTGGATTTTACCCATATTCAATGTATTTTCTAAGTCAAAAAGGGGCATAATTCTGTCAAAAACCTTGACAGAGTTATGTCCTCTTGTCTGTTGATGAAGGTCGTGATGGTAAACAAGTATGGTCAGTTTCAAAGCAATACCTCCAATGGTTTTGAAATAAAGTGAGGTGGTACAAAAAACTTAACCAAGCTCAATACACTTTCTAAGTCAAAAAAGGGCCATAATTCTGTCAAAAACCTTGACAGAGTTATGTACTCTTGTCTGTAGATGGAGGTTATGATGGTGAACAAGTATGGTAAGTTTCAAAGCCATACTTGTAATACTTCTGAAATAAAGTGGGGTGGTACGAAAAACTTAACCAAGGTGTGACGCCAACGCTAACGCCGACGCCGACGCCGGGGCGAGTAGGATAGCTCCCCTTTTCATAGAAAAGTCGAGCTAAAAAGTACTGTCACAATAATATTCTCATTTAAAAGCACATTCTGAGGAGAAGACAAAACCCAATTAGGATGGCAAAAAACACTTTTAATTAACCTTATATGCAACTTGGCACTTATGGCATTCCTAATTCACTCTTGATTAATCTAAAACATCAAAAGATCCTGTTCTTGAAAGATGACCATTCATGAATAGTCAACCTTGAAATGACAAGTAACTCATAAGAATAATATACTTGAATTCAATCATCATCGTCCATTATCTATGAACTTTAAAACTGTTCCATCTTTCAGCCTGCCAGACTTTTAATGCATTAATTTATTTTTATTCTATAATGCATATTTTATTCCATATACAAGAATGTTAAACTTTTAAATTTTTGACTTGTTTATGGATTAACTATTTTCATTTCCAAAGATTTCAATAAAAACACTGACATCCATTTTTCAAGACTTTTCTTCCACAAGTCTTTTAATTTTGTATTCCTTTACTCTACGTTCTGACTGTTCCTCTTTTCTACTCTTTTCATCAATAAATTGTGTCCCACGGCAACGTCGCCCAGTAACAGGATCTATTGTCTCACCGACTTGAAATAGGATGCTGTCAATCACTGTGTTCAAATTCTTTACTGTTCTTTCTTTAGTCTTGGTAATGACAACAATATCCCCTACTTTAGTTTCACCTTTGAAATCCACTGACCACTTATCTTGTTTCTTTGGAAAATACTGAAACAATAAGAATTTTTTTTAAGTATTATGAAAGTTCATTTTCAACATGCATGCATAAAAATTGAAGAAAAATGGTACATGCATGCATAAAAATTGAAGAAGAAGCAGGACTCTCGTTGGTATTTTGAGACTGGGGCCAGGGTCCATGCAGGGGGGAATTTTGCATGATTTTCAAATATTTTTCATTCAAGGGGGAATTTTTTTTGGTAAGACTTGAAATTGTGCGACATGTTGGAATGCTGAAAACTGTCCGGAACGTTTTATTTATATATACATACGTACTAATTTCCCATTGCCATTTGTGGAATATATACTAATTTACGGTTGCCGTTCGCGGAATATATATTCGCCGATGGGCGTTTTCTATGCTCGTTAAATATTAATTTCAAGGGAGATTTTTTTCAGTTTTACGGGGGAAAAAAACACACTTTTTTGGTGGGGGAATGGGGCCGATATTCGGCCCCAAATTTTACCAAACGAGAGCCCTGAGAAGGGTACATGCACATGGACCAAAATTTTGGAATGTACTCCCAATTTTCAATGATGAGGTTCATGTACCCTTATATTTGAAATTGAGTGGGCATGCTGTAAAAATGTACATATTCTCAAGCATGCCATACCAGCTAAATATAAAATCTTGCTGAGAATGGTGCTGATTAATCTCCATGCCAAATTTAAAGACTGCAGGTCAAAGGATTCTTTAGTTATTGGTGGGGACCAGCTTTTTTTAGTCAAGTCCCTTCTGACATTGACCTTTGACCTAGTGACACCAAATTAAATAGGGGTCATCTACCAGTCATAACCAACCTCAATGCTAAATATGATGACTGTTGACCAAAGCATTGTTATGCAATTGAGCAGCCAAGCTTTTGAACTTTAGACCCCTGTGACCTTGACCTTTGACCCATAGACCTCAAAATCAATTGGGGTCATCTACTAATCAAGACTAACCTCAAATGCCAAATATGAAGACCATGGGTCCAAGGATTCTTAAGTTGTTGGGCGAACAAGCTTTTTTCATTCAAGGTCCATGTGACCTTGACCTTTGACCCAGTGACCACAAAATCAAAAGGGGTCATTTGCTAAAAAAATAACCTCAAATGCCAAATATGAAGACCATTGGTCAAAGGAATCTTAAGTTATTGGGCGGACAAACTTTTTTCATTCAAGGTCACTGTGACCTTGACCTTAGACCCAGTGCCCTCAAAATCAGCAGGGGCAGCAAAATCAATTGTCAGTATTGCCCAGGTTGTCCCACAGCCTGTACGGACATGTGAAAATTTTCAAGAATTAACTGTGTAAATATCATACGGATAAGTAAAAAATGCTACACATAAAAACAGACAAGTCAAAATTAGATTTTGCCGGCCCTGAGGGGGTCACCTACTAATCAAGACTAATCTCAATGCAAAATATGATGACTGTGGGTCAAAGGATTCTTAAGTTATTGGGCGGACAATCTTTTTTCATTCAAGGTCCCTGTGACTTTGACCTCAAAGAGAAATAGGGGTCATTTACTAATCATGACTAACCTTCATGCCAAATATGAAGAGTGGGTCAAAGGAATCTTAAGTTTATGGGCGGACAAGCTTTTTAGGTCAAGGACCATGACCATGACCTTTTGGCCAGTGACCTCAAAATCGATAGGGATCATATACTCATCACGACCAGCATGCCCATTCACGCACTACAGTGCGTAATTCACGCACAAAATACTAGATGCCTGCATAAACATTGTAAGCAGGGGGTACATGCATGCAAAGTAAAATCGTCAGAATCAATGTTTGGGATAACCTAATATGCATATCAACTAAATGTCGTTGCCATCTACCAATGGTTAGGAACAGTCTTAACCCGGTCACAATTGCTTTCAAAGTCATCTCAGTCTGATTCGTAAATATTTTAGTCATGTCTTGACGTCACATGTACTGTCTGAAGAAAAAAAGTTTTGGATATTTACAACTGCCAAAGAGTATTTTGAGTTCTCCAATGATCAGCAAAAAGTTAGTCACTTGATTTTTTAACATCTACCTTCAATTGTTAGCTTTACGTATGTCATATGAAATGAAAATATTTACAATTGAGATTTTGAAATAAATGTACATAATTTCGGATATACAAAATCTTGGTTATGGGTAATAATCATATGGACTAAACAAAATACCAGTGATTGTAATGGCTGTTAGATTGCTACCTTAAGTGGTGAGTTTGTGTCTGTGTTAGTGGGTAGTAATTCTTAGTGAAACAGCTGTTCATTAATATCATGTTGACTAAAATGTTCTTACAAACAAAAACATGTTTAAACTTATGTGTACCCCCAGATTTTGAAATGTACCCCCAATTTTCAATGACAGGGGGTACATGTACCCCTATATTTAAAATTGAGTGGGTATGTAGTCCAATATATTAGACGTTACAGGCTTGTTATAGTTTATGTCGGTCAAGCCTGACGTCTAATAGTTATTGCTCAAAAACGCATAGCATCATAAAAAAATAAAAAAATGTCTATTGTCTTGCCTTTCAAGCTTTATTCAAAAGCTTATCTTCTTTTCTTTCAATTTCATGCTCAATCATACACAAAAACTCTCAAACAATGTACTTATCAATTTAAAATAAAAATATAAACATCAATCTATTTTTGTCTATCAGCCATGCTGGTTAAGCAAGGTGCTTTACAGATTGATTCCAAATTTTTGAACGGAAAAATATATTCGAACACACTGACGGTGCATAGGCAATTATTTCGTTTTAAAAAAAATATTCCGTTAGATTATTCTGACTCAGTTAAACGCTTGCATTTGAATTAGCCAATCAGATTTCGCGCACTTTATGGCCCGCCATTTGTTTATCGGCTGTAAAAGAGAACTGATAATACATGAGGGGGATTTAATCATGATTTTTCGGATGTGACAGTTTAATTATTTTGACAAAAGGTATTTATTTTTTAGTTTTGTTCATAAATAGGTCAAAACTTATGTAAATACACGCTGTCTTCATTGTTTTTTCGTTCTGCCCGATTTTCTGGCGGAACATGCTATGGGTTTTTGAGCAATTTCGATATGACGTTGCTTTGCCCAGAAGCAAAAATATCTCAAAGCGACGTCATATTCATAGGACTAAGTGGGCATGCTGACGACTTACCTCCATTCCAAATATGAAGACTGTAGGTCAAAGGAATCTTAAGTTATTGGGTGGACAAGGAAAACCTGATGGACGGCTGGAAGGACAGGCTGTTTCCAGGTTACCCCCCCCCCCTTACAACTGTGTGTGTGTGTGGGGGGGGGTATAAAATCTTTTAAATATTAACTAGAATATCATGAAAATCCTAGACCTGAGTAAATAGTAATCTAAGTTCTAACTAAAACCAGACACAAACTTATCAGGACAATACAAATAATAGATTATAGTTGGACATTTCGTACTGATTACCAAGCTTAATTGCTTAGCTAGACGAACCGCACAAAAGAAAGCTGACGTGCGGGGCGAATCGTTGGGGAAGCCGAATAGTTGATGCGGGAGCGAATCATTTAAACAAGATAAAATAGGTGGTTTATAGCAATAGTTACCAATTAGTTAAAAACGCTCTATCTAAAACTGTTATTCTATTATTAAAAAAAACTTTTTCTTTAGGAGGTTATTTGATACTTTGGACCATCCATCATGGTTTGCTTTATAATTTGACCAACGGCAATATATTTTGAAGTTGACATTTTGTCTTTTTATCGGTGCGCATGTGTCAAAAAGTAGGGCATAGTCTAATACGCTTTAAGCAGACACTATAATCATATAGGGAAAACGCGTGCGCAAAAAAGCGGGCGATATAGATGTAAAGTGTAAGTTAAAGCTATAGAGATGGTGTATAACCAGAGACTAACATACAAATTTAAAATATAGCTCCATTATATATATAATGGTGTAGAGTGACAGGCGATTAAGATTGTATTGATACATTTATAATATAAAAAAAACAACAAAAAAAACAACATATCTTGAATTCTTCAAATGTATAATTGAAGCTCTTTTCTAGGGACAAAATAGAAAGAAAAAAGACGAAAAAAGTATGTGAAAAATGAATAATTCGAACGATTAACAGACTGAATCAATGAAAACAATTAAGTATATTTCAATAGTGTTTTTATTGATATTCTAAAGTCAGCATTTTCACTATCTATGTCTCTATCCGCAATACAAACAGTTTTATTAAATTTGCCTTAACTAAAGCTACTTATTCATTATGAATTTTAAAGATGGCTTATATACAAGGTTAAGAGAGACAAATTATTGTAACAAACCAATTGCATTTATTTGGAGACTATTTTCAATGGGCCATTTTTAAGTATTTTCATTGGGAATTTGAAAAAGACAACGGAACTAATCAGATAGGGCTATCACTCGTCGGATTTTGGCTTATTGTCAGAGCTGGGCACGGTTCATTAAGAGACTATATTTTTATGTGTGCATTATTTGTGATAAGAACTATCAGATAGGGCTCAGGGGGGGTTTTTTTGAGTTAAACCCGTAAGCCTTGACTTTTTACTTCATTAGAAAACGGGCTTTCACATTTGGGTTAAGGGGCCTTTTAAAATGTTTTCTTTGAAATTCGGGGCATTATTGAATAATACAAGGTGTTAATTATTTTTTAAGGCCAAAAACTATTTCCCATTTGGGCTATCACCCGGGTTTAAAAATTTAGCTTTACTTTATTTTTTAGACTATTTACAGGAGCAAATTTTTGAGACTGCACCCTGTATTTTTTGGAAAATAAGAAAAATGTCCCGTAGGGGTTCAATGTGGGTTTAGTGAGTTTACCCTTTTTCCCTTTGGGAAAAATCGTCGTTTTATCACTTTTAAACCCGTGCCGATTTATTGGCGACTCCCCGTAAATTAATGGTACTGCAAAACGGCCGTGCATATATTTTGACGTGACGTCATTTGCGTTATACACACATAGTGTAAAGACGCGCTAAATGTAAAGGTTATACTGTAGGCGCGTCAATGAAAAAATGACTCCTTTTCACTTTAAATGGTCTGTATTTTTGGTATGTGATAAATAGAATATTAGATTCGTATAAGTTCAATACTAAATTTATTGAACTCGTTGAATAAAATAATATTATGCTCGCCAGAGGCTCGCATAATACGATTTTATTCAACTCGTTTAATAAATTCAGTATTGAACTTACACTCATTCAATATCCTCTATGTATTGTTTGAGACTATCACAATGCGCGCATTGTTTGGGATAAAAACTGTCCAGATATGCTATCACTGTGAGTGTATAGTTTATTTGAAACTATCACCGTGTATTGTTTCATTGACACTATAATGACCGTACATTTTTTTGAGAACTATTCACCTCATTTTTGAGACTTCACTTGTGCAATTTTTTTAATAAGAAACCAACAGATAGGGTGTTATGACCGTGGGTTTGGTGAGTTATTACTGTATTCTTTGAAAATAATACCCAAATGGCTATTAACTTGAGATTATCGCTGACTGCATTATTTGCGGACTATTCACTGTGCAAGTATTTGAGTCTACAGGAATTCTGAACTGGGTTTCTTTTTTTTTCAATATAATTGATTATCCCAAAATAAAATTTCATTTAAGATCGTGTGATAATCGTAATTAAGCAGATATAACAAATGTTCTAACAGTACGCAGTGGCGATTCAGGCCCAGGGCTTTTATGGGCTGCAATTTCCCCCCCAAAAAGGCGAAACCCAAAGATTACTTTTACCAGCTGGGCTGGAATATATTTTTGCCAGTTTCAAACTTTATTGGCTGTAGTGTACTCCTTATCAAAACATTTATTGCTGTCATCCAGTTTGTTAATCTTCTGCCTGGGGGTTTTTGGCAAAGATCTTTATCTATCAAACATGCTTGAATGACTTCAATGTTTAAACTGCATAATTGATTGGTTTATTTACTTTCCAGAGCTCTAAATGAACATTAAATAGTCACAGATAGTGGTAAATAGATTGTGTTACAATTTTTTACACCATATTTTACTATCTTAGTTTTTTCCATTTTCTTTGTGAAAGTCCTATAATTAAGAAATTGAAAATTATTATTTGCAAATTAAAAAGGAGGCGAGTTTTATGAAGATAATATAAAGGAATCGCGTTTCCAATAACTAGTTTTACTTAGATTGTTATAAAGACGAAATGTTTGGTCATTTGCTTTTAATAACCTTCTATGACAGTTATATTTTTTTGAAATAAAATCTGGATTCAATTATGGAAAAAAAATTTATTGAATATTTGTGTTTTGAATTATGGAATTATTTTTTTGTACAATAGAAAAGCAGTTTTTTTAATACCACATTTACTTGGAAAATGGTCTATTATTTCAGGTATGTAAATTTATCAAGTGTTTGAAATTATTTTTTATAACGGTCATATGTCAGACACCCCCCCCCCCCCGGAAAACATGTTCTGTACTCGCCCCTGGTTACGCCTTCTAATTAATAAATATTAACTATACAGTACGGTTACTGTATAGCTGTTACAATCTGTAAACGTGTTTACGCTTAATACGTTTACGCATACTTCGTTTGAAACGCCATTTGAATTTGCTTGCATGATGTGCCAATCGCAATTTTAAAAATTTGACATAAAAAAACCCCGGGGTGAAAAAAAAAATTAACCTTTTTTAAAATTTATTCCGGTTTTTGGGGAAAAAGGGGAAATTTTGCCAAATTTTATTTATTCAAAAAACCCCCTTTGTTCCCTTTTATTATAGTGGGTCTCCAATCCCTTTTTTTATTTTTCAATCATTTTTGGGGTACGTTTGCATTTTAGACCTAGCCCAAAATTTTTTTTGTTTTTCTTCCCGGTTTTTATAAAAACGGGGTTTTTTGCCAAAAAAGAAAAAACTCTGCGGGGTGGGTCAAATAAATACTTTACAAGAGAAAAAAAACATTTGGGAAAACACAGAAAAAAGATTCGGTTTAAAATTTTTAAAAAGAAATTGAAAACCCTACTGCGATCAAGCCCGGGTTACAAAAAATGGGAACTTTTGAATTTGGGAAATTTATTATAACAGTTGAATGACCCCCCCGGCCTTGGTTCTTTTACAAAGCCCGTTCTTTTTTAGCCCCTGATTTCATTTCGGATGAAATTAACAGATTTTTTACCCAAATACACCTTCCCAGGTAAAATGGAAAAACACTGAAAATGTTTACTTTGAAATGAAAAATTTCCCCCAAAGGGGTTTCCCCGGGTCCAAAAACCCCGGGCCCCCAGGGGTGATAGTCATGGTTTTACCAAACTGAATCGCGCCACCTTTTTTTTTTAAGAATGGTTAGCAGGGCATAGTTCTGGGGTTCTTTTAAAGTATTTTTTGTCCCAATTTTTTCTTTACTTTTTTGAAATGTAAAATCTTTAAAAGTACAAAAAACCTGTTAGTTTTAAGGTTTTAAGCTAGTAAAAAGGGGGGAAAGGGCAGTTCCATGTCTGACCCCAATCACGCCTTTCTCAGCCTTTTTTAAATTTTCATTAAATTTTAACAACATAGACTATCTTTCATAAAATGGGGTTTGATTTTAAATTTATATTTTGAAAACAATTAAAACAAATCCCATTTATCTTTTATTAAAACACGGTGCATTTCCAACCGGACCCTCCTTTTCCCAAAATTTTTGCTCAAAAATTTTACCCCCCTTTTGAAACCCTGACAGGTCATTTTTCGCCCAAAAACAAAAAACCCGCGATGGATAACAATTCCCGAAAATTTTTTAAATTTTAATAGGGAAAGGAAAGGGATACAAAGTAGAAAAGGTTTTTATTTGGGCTCCAGATAAATGGTTTTAAAAAGCGTTTTAAAATTTCCATGGAAATAAACCCGGTTTAAAGCAAATTTAAAACCAAAAATTTTAAAAAGTATGAAAAAAACCCCCACAAAATTCAATTAACCCCCCCAAAAAAAAAGCAAAAATTTCTTTCGCGTAAACGTAACCGAAAGTAAACTCGGTGATTATTTTATTTTCAATTTTCGCCTGAACGCTTTGCAAGCGTCTACCGGTAACTTCCTGTATTTTCCGACCATCATCGGTTTGTATCGTATGCATAGTATGGTGGTGGAATTAACTTCGGATGAATGCTTTGCAACGTCTAACGGTTACTTCCTGTAGTTCCGACTATCATC